AAATACTCAATATAATATCTACAGAAGATAAAAGATACTTATACTCGTCTATTATTATATGTACAGATACATTGGTGAAACGCCCATGGTAACCGCTGCACAATTAAACCATTGGCGAGATAATAGTGTCCGTGTGTAACATACGATGGGTGTAAACGCTCGCGGGAGAAACGTAATAGGCAATCCGCGCTGCAAGTCGATCCTCGCAACTCGCACCCCGAGGCCCCCAAGGGCTCAAGTCTAACTGAAGAGTAGGGGTGTCTAGACACCCAATCTCTTTTCCTACTCTCTTTCTCTTCCTTCCTCCTTTCTGTCGACGATATTAACCTTTACACGTATCGTGATAGTAAACTGGTCGAAGGACAACGTTCAAGAGTGAACGAGAAAGCCCTCTTTGCTCTTTGAACGCACCCGGAAAGTGTGTAGTCACACGCTCGTAAAATAGAAGGGTTGAAGAGCGTTACAAGAATCCTTGTTTGAAGCAACAACTAATCTCACTGAATGCATATTTTTTTTTACCTCTCATTCTTGTCCATAAAGCTTAGCCTCTACTAAAAGCGCGATACAAATGTTTCTTTACACACAGTGATCTTAGCTGAATAAATGTTTAAAATGTTTTGAAAATTTACAAAAAATGTATTATTTTATATATATATATATATATACACAAACTATGACAATATATAGTATATATTATTTATTTATTATTATTATAGTATATACATATATATATGTATCTTTCTTATTCATTTGACCACAAAATGTCGTAATTATTTTGTTCATTCTGGAATTAGCAAATTTTTTAATAAAGTTTGTAGCCAATTCTTAATAAAAAGGTTATAAGGACAGCGATAATTATTGAGCTACAAAATATTTATTTCTTTCAAGAGATATCTTGAAAGAAAAATCTACATCTTTTGCATTTAAAGATACAATAAAGAAGTAATTAAATTGTTCAAGTAGCAAATATGTACAATTTTGATTTTGAAATAATGCAACAAATATAACAATCGTCTATACATATACAAAAGATATATATGATGAATCTCTGAGATTTTAATATTATCTTAAAAATTAGTATAATCTTAAATATATTATCTTAAGAATCAACATAAATACAACGATTTGACGAAAAATTTTTTTTGTTTAGAATACGCTCAAATTTATGTTTTTATCGAATGACGTTTCCCTGATATTATTCCATTACTCTTCTGAATGATATCAAGAACATAATTTTCCACTAAGGTGTCAAACGTGAATGCCTTATATGCAACCAAATTGTGACTGCCATTGGCATCATAACTAACGACATGCTGCACCGCATTTGGCATGAAGTGGAATATCGGTTCGATATCCTTCGAGCCACTAAAGGTATTCATGAAAGTACATGCAAAAGTGTGTGTGTGTGGTGTGTGTGTGTTAATCATTTCTTGTAAGAAGTTTTTTGAATTATTTTTTATAATAAAAAGGAAATATGTATTAGAAATATATATGTGTATTTGTTTTTATTTTTTTTCATCATTTTTAAGATATCGAAGATTCATTGTATCTACCCTCTATTTTTTACGTTTTGGTCGATTATTCGAACGTTCTTGACATGTGCTGTGCTTCTTTCGCGGTCTACCTTTGTTATTAATTATTATTAATTTAATAAATTGCAGACTATGCAGATATGAATACCCACCAGGTCAGCACTTTCCATGCACGAAGTAATATTGAAGAAATGCATCGTGCATGTTTTATCTAATAAACACGAGTGTTTTTTCTTTTTACAACAAAGCCACTGCGTGCTACCATAAATGTGCATCGTAAAACGAACATGGGAAATAATCATATATGGCCGATATATCCGCTCTGTTCGCAATTTAGTATTTATCTTTCGCTATTGAAAGTGTGCACAATTACTTGATGCTTTGAGCTGCGTACGTCCGAATCGCAACATGCGCTTTGTAACGCGATGAGAACAGTTGCACATATCGCATGTGCGACGCATATTGAAATGCCACGTGGAGAGATATCGCCATTCATCGCGTAAGTAAAGATAACTGGAGCATGATAATAAATAATATGCGTTTGAACGCGATATAAACGTCGTATACCTTCGTGATTATATATATTGCTCGTATTAATATATAATTTGTTAATATTATTCAATGATTAAAATCGGAACAATAGAATCACTGAAACTTTTTATAGATTCTCTGCAAACAAGTTTGCTGCAGTTGGAAGCGTAAAAAAAAAATATAAACCATAAACTTTATTAATTTTTGAATTCGTCTTCAGATGCCTGATGAGAAGTGTTATTATTATAGAATGTTTAAAAAAAATCGACGATTTATAACAATATTAGAATTATACTAAAAATATAAATTTTGCTTAGGAAAATCCAGGGAGATCTTCATACAATGCTGGGTAAATATTTCCCTGGTTTAACCGCAGCGCAGAGGACGATGTCCTTCGGCAGCACATGTTCGGAGAATCGATTCCTCGTTTACACAGCTGCGGAAGTGACTCAAACGAACAGCGTGTGCTCAGGAAAATTATCCAAAGCAGCGGCAGACATTAGAGTCGTGCTATACACCATTCTCGACCTAATTCTCGATGCGCTGCACATCCGCAGCCCTTAAATTGTAACTGTACATAGTGCGGAGTGGCGCATTCCGATTCTGATATGAGATAATGAACATTAGTTAAAAATAGATAAGTCTAGAAAATTTTATGTGTTCGTTATTAAAGCGTATTTTCTTTGGATCGTAGATTTTTTTACCAATTTAAAAAATGAATCAATTTCTTTTTTGTAGACACATAAAAACAGTCTTTTTGAGTTATGAGCAAATAAAGAGCATTGCAAAGATTTTCAAAATTAGTTTAAGAATATATTACACATATTTTTGATCAAAATGAAAGAATTATGATTTTAAACTAAAATAAAATAATTATTTCAATAAAAAGTAGATATGTTTGAAAAAAATAATTTTCAGATTAAATGGAAACATTTTTATTTAAACTATAAAATTGTATTGTTAAATATAAATATTAATTTTGTTAAATTGTTTCATATGTATAACATTTATTTTTATATGGAAAGTATAAAAACAAATTTTCAATTCTGTTTACTTTTTACAAATATCTAATCTGCTACGCTTAGAAAATATGATTAATAAAAAATAGTACCCGAGAATCTCTGATCAATCGCGCTTTCTGTTAACAAAAGGTACTTTGCAAACAGAAAGTAACAAAAATGAATTGAATGGGAAACAGATAAATGTAAGCTTTCACGTACTACTTAAATGCATTTGGCTGTATAACGCTATTTCCATTGTTCGAGTTTCTCTATGCAACGAGTATAATGAAGCGTATCTATATCTATAATAATTGTTTTTATCAGCATCAGTTTAAAACTTTCTTTGCTCCTCTTTAATTTTATTGATCTATATATTCAAGCTCCTCAAATTTCTAAAAAAAAATCAAATATCAAATTAACACTATTACGATATATTTAATTCTACATTATACATGTTGTTTTTTAATTACTTACGTAGGATGTTTCTAATAATATTTTATCTCAATTTTTATTATTGATGATTTAAAATTAACTCTTTGGATGGAAGCAAACCTTTTAATAAAAAAAAAACTTAAAGAAGATCTCAAAGAAGTTTCCAAAAAAATTTTAGAATCGCTGAATTTGAATCTATTTTCAGAATTCTAAAATTTAAATTTCAAAAAAATAATCTGATTATTGCGAAATTTGATTTTAAGAGGCTTTTCAAGACTCTCTCTTGATATCACTAAATTTAAATGTTGCTGACAATGTCGAATTTCAAAAGAGTAGTACCCTCCAATGAAGGAGGGTCTAATGTCACAAGGCTCATAATGACAGTTTAAAAGTCTCATAATGTCAGTTTGAAAATCAGTACCTACTACAACTGTTCGCAAAGCGCTGATGAGCTTCAAATAAAATGAAACTAGAAACTTGTGTGATGTTGCTGTGCAATTATAAATTCTCTAAAATCAAATTTTATTTTATTTATATAATATACTTTTAAAAAAATGCTATCTATAATATTGGATTCATCATTTTGAATTTTTTATTTTTTATCTCGGATTCGAATAAAGCATAGTCAAATTATCTCATAATCTAAGTTTTACAAAAATCAAGCGAACAATTTACAAAATAAAAAGAAATGCTTAACGGGTTTATCTACAAATTAAATAAATATTGATAATATTCTTTACATCCTTCGGATAAAGATAAATACAAAAACTTTTTTTAACTGTGAAATGATTTACGCTAAATATAATAATGTATATGAATATGAGTATTCATACATTTAGTGAATTTATAAGCTGGGTTATGGACACCCCATGCAAATAATGAAGAATTAACAGTATTGATAATGCTTCAATGTTGTTCACGTTAAAAATGAGGTACGCGAGTAAATGAAACAATATCTTTAATTAACAACCCATTGTTACAAAATTAACAGATTTCAGAACAAATATTGGCTTACTTTAATTATCACAGCCGATCCGTACAGTATATATTACATTCGACAAGGGATGCCAATATTTCGCGGCGATAAACTGATAAACTCATGTCATTCCGCACAGTTCACGGAACTCACGATGGTAGCGCGCAAATAATTGCGTTATCTATTCTACTGCGCGTAATGCGCAATGAATGCCAGTGTATATCCACAACATTAACAAAATTGCTCTCACGTCCGTTCACCGATCCATTTGAATCGCGACAGTGTGAAAATTTAGCGCCTTCAACGTCCGTACTGTAATGAATTTTCCACTTTCCGCTCATTAAAATTAGATATTTAAAAACGGATCTCGAGCTGAAGGTATATATCAATATCATTTGCATTATTGGACAATGTCCGTTTCTTACAATTATTCACTTCCGGTGTCTTTAATTATATCTTTAATTCGTCCGTATTTAACTCTTATCTTTATTTGCGGATGTACAGATAAAATAATAATGAGATCGTTACCTCTTGGACCTTCCGATGGACGACGATTTTGTGCCATTGACGATCATCGAATCGCAACTTGACCGGCTTTATGTGCAAATCCAATCTTCCTTTGGCTAGGCTCATACTGACTGCGGCGCCTCCGTCTCTCAGTGATATAGTGAGATAATCATCGCCCTCTCCTGTAATTAAAAACGGGTCTAATGAAGTCATGGCGAGTATCATGAGCGCGCGCAGTGTACATTGCACAGCGAATAAACTCTTATCTCGCTTTTGGAGCGCAAATAATGCCACTGAATTAATTGTGACAGTGGCTGACGCGAGATTGTCGAATATGGAAAAGCTCGCAGCCGTCACGGACGTTTTGTAGTTGCTGTCTGTGTTGACGTGACCGGGAACATTACCGTCCATTGAGCACGATCCCTTTTGACGCGTTAACGTCGCACGCATTGCCTGAAAAAAAGATCGACAGCAACGTACGCAAATTTCAACGCAACTTTTTAATCCCCGCGGCGACGTCAGTCCATCAGGTTCCCTGGCTCACTCCATTTTTCGTCGAGCTCGCCTGCCGGATTATAGCACGATGCGACGCGTATAAATCGATTACGATCGCTTAACCATTAGTTTCGAGGTACTTCCGGACGACCAGTTAAAACGTCCGGTGATCGTCGTTAATAATTATCCTGTGCTAAATTCGCCAGAAAATCCTCGCGGATTATGTTATACTTGTAACGAGTTGAAGGATCAAAACGATTCTGCCGATAGAACGATTTTTGCGATTAAAAGTTAAACGCGATTAGTATTCTTGTATAGTTAATATCAGAAACGATTTAAAGTATAACTTACGAGAGAGACCCAAGTATTCTCTTATGATTTTGATGAGCTTTTAATGCTATTTTGTAAACGAAAATAAGGGACACATATTTTATGTGTTCTATCGCACTTTCAAGAAGTGAAATACCTCTTAGAAAAAAATCGGTTTCTTTTAATTTTAAAAAATTTGTTTATTTATAAAAAATAAAAATAAAAATTTTGTTATTATAATTGTTATTAAGCACTCTTAGAAGACTCTATTTTTCAAGCTTAAAATCGGAGAAAGAAAAAATATGATTACAGACGGAGGATTATATCATAAAAATGTATATACCTGTTAAACGCAGTGAAAACGATTGTTTTTTTTTTAAGAAAAAATCGAAATAAAAAAAGCGAAAATTAATTTATTCTTTACTTTTTATTAAAAATAAAAAAGTTGTCTAATAAAATTGTTCATGAAAATTCCTCTTATTATCCAGTCACTTAATAAACACCTTTATGAATACAGTGAATATAGCGTTTTACTTTCTTCAAGCTTGCATTTAATTAAATTAACAGAATTTACAGAGAAAAAAACTCAAGTTTTTAAGTATTTTTTTTCAATTTACGATTATTTTTCTCGATACGTGCAACGAATAATAAGAACATAAATATACAAGAGGCGTTAATACGCTAGAGAGCAGAAATTATAATTTTTATCAGTAGATTAAGGCGCATCGGGAGGGGCGCAAACGGGTACGGTTATAGCGTTACACTCGTGAATCTCGCAAATGCCACCGTCGGTTATTGCCGCAGTCGCTTTAAAATCGGGCCGCGACCGCATACTAATTATCTCACGGGCAGCCCAGGGACTCGAGCATATAAAAGATGCAGACAGTACTTCGGGCTTAATTGCTACCGGCGCGACGCATTAGTATGCGCCTAAGTGCATTACGCACGTTACGTATCGCGCTTTTATTCGTATAATACCACCATCGCCGGCGCGATGCACATCGCGGATCGCTATCGGACAACAAACATGATAACACACGTTACGCGCTGCGAAGGTAACGCCTGCGAGGTGGATTCTACAAGGCGAAAAATTGGCGAGAGTTTCTACGCACTTACGTTATAGTTACATCCCTACATTAAAAAAATATTCTAAATTTTAATAAATAAATCATTTGTTTAAATGGTACCAATTAAATATTTATTAAATATAAAGATATATTTATTTATTATACGAGGTTACAAGTTATTCAAATAGATTTATTAAAATTTAGTATATTTTTTCTCAGTGATCAAAATTCCTATGAATGACCCATTTTTCCCAACTCTGCTCATACGCTAGAATATTTAATTATCAAAAAGCAAACAAATTTTCTAGAATTAAAAATAACAGTCGTTGATCGCTAACACATTCGCAAACACATGCACGAGTAAATTGTTATTTATTGTCCGCTCGTTATTGGAATGTATTTTGCCTAATTATCCCCTGGATGCGAATTATCCGCGTAAATCCCAAATACATTCGAGAAATATCTTTGCGTAATCGTGTTGCAAACAGTTATTTGAAAACAGACGAAATCATTTCCGATGTGAATTTAACACACTGCGACTCGGCACGTGAGCGAACCAAGTATAGAAGTAGACAGCGCAAGTAGTAAAAGACGAAGATGGTCAGGCACGTTCCGGCGGAATTCTCGAAGGAGATTATTATGTTTACCATTCTTCGCGAGGGAATTGCCGCGGTACGATACCGTGATTTGAAAGAATAGAAGTTGCGTGGGGTGACGATTATTATGCCCCCCGGAAATACGTGCAATTCAAATGCGCGGCGAGTGCGCGGTTGTATTATAGCTTATCTCAGGAACAAATGAGCAGCCTGGTGTGAGAGAATTGCGGAGATGCAAGAGGGAGAAACGATTGCTACGTATGCATCTTGTGTGTCGTATGTGTGTAGTGGAATGCGAATGCGGACGTGTGAGAGCGAACGTAAGTGTATGTGGTACAGCATTGCGGCTCCGTTATATAGGTTTCGAGTTGCTGTAACCGGAGCGAAGGTGCAAACTCCTCCTTTTACTGCGGATGGTGCAGTCTTGCCATCTTGGCTGCGCTGATTCTACCGTTCATTACGTAAGTATACTATAAACTGGAGATTCATGTGCAGCCGGTGAGAAGCTATAATATGCCAGATGAAACGATGAGTGTAATATAAAGGCACAATAAATCAGAAATCTGACCGAAATGCAAGCGAGTAAGAAATAAACTTTTATCTCGACTTGAACTACCTTTTCTCCGAGTCTCTTGATTAATTTAGGAAACTTGATTAAATTTAATTTGTATGTATTTTTGTATAAATTTGTGTTTCAAATTACAAACTGAAATTTTGTTAAAGTTTTAAAATTAATATCGAAGAACAACATCGCGATTTATTTTACTGTCTAAAATTTTTGTAAACTTTTGTAAACATCTCTTCATACTTAAACATTTGAAATTATTAGTAACATCAAATTTATCTTTTTATATTAAAAATTACAATTGACTAGAATTATAATATAGAGTCGAAATATTTTTACCATTAATGTTGGAACTAAATATAAAATTAGAAATTCTATTATTACTGATATAAAGTAGTTGTAGATTGATAAATAGGTATATAAATGAAGTAATTTGATCAGTTTTCCTCAAATTGATATTCTGCGCCAAAATTCGAAACGAAACAATTTTGAAGTTTAAATGAATATATAGATCGATTATATCGAATAAGATTCAATATAACACCTTAAAATAAAAGAGAAAGAGAGAAAAGATAATAAGAAAACGATGTTAAACATAAAGAGAAAAGGTGAGAGACAAAATTTCTTTAGTTGGCTGTACGTCCGGTATCTGAACTGAAACTTCTAATTGGCTATAATGTCGCCACGAGAGAAGAGGAGCAATCTAAGGATTTAATATGCGACCATTGTCCAAGATGGTTCTATTGTCTACCTGCGTTCTCTCAAAGGATATCCGGTCGTTCGTAAATTACTCGATTAGATGTCACTCCATTGTTGATCTTCTTGAATTGTTTTCAATTAATTACGCGCCTCTATGATTAATCGTTTCCAGAAAATTTACAATTTTATGGTTTATACTTTAAAATCTATATTTACAATCATTATTTTCACACTTCTGATTCTGTAACTCGTATATTAATTGTTCATCAGATATACGAACTGCGAACATTTTCCAGTATTAAGAATCTATTTTCTTAATTGCCGCAAACGCATTCGAAAGTGGAACAATTCGCAAGTGGAAATAAAATTGCCACTTAAAGAGAAGTTATTATAATTGACAAAGAAAGTCGTTTGCCATGAACACAGCAAGTACTTACCGGAATAAAATAGAAGTCCATTTGCTGCTCTCGTTTTGAACTGGAGGCTTATGGATTCTTGTGTACTGAGTACTGGTTCTCCTTTGCTCAAATCTATCGTGAGATACTCAGTCCCTCTGAAGAATGCTTCCGAGGGAGCTTTGTCTGGAACAAAAAAGGCAGTAGTTTATAAATCGACCAATTCACTATAATAGTTTTCGTTAAAGACTCGCTTAGAGAATTAGCGGTACAAACTAAAAAATGGAAAACGTCTTCCTCGTTTATTGCAATTTTTGCAATTTTCTCTTTGAAAAGAAGAAAATAAATTATTAACTTTGTATTCATACAATATATGCGATTAATATCTTCAATTTTGCTGAAAATAATGCAAACAAATATTTAAACAATCAATTATTCTATTGGATAAATATAATTTCAACGATTAGTTTATTTTAGTCGAAAAGAAATATTACTTTTTTTATTATATTTAATTAACGTTTGTACATTTAAAGCTGTTATTCAATAAGTAGGCTAAATAACATTTTTGTATCTTTCTGAGATTGTGGTAAATGACGAGATTTCTCAGTTTTCTCTCGCGAGTTTGCGAATCACAGTAATAAGCGTCAAGAATCCCAACCCATCATCTTGGAAGCGACGCGGCTCTCGAGAAAAATCGACGCCGGTGGATTTATCGTGGCAATTCGTTTCTACCGCAGTTGAGCGAGCTGAAAGAGATACGAAGTGGTGGATATATAGTACAGGCAGCTCTTCCTTACGCGGATTCGCTGGATGATTTGCGGTGGTAATGAACATTTCAATCGGTGCATTCGACCCCGCGGCGCGATTTGGCGACGTGCCAGTGCCATTAAACCTATCTTACGGTCTTTTTGCGCGACCGCGCTTACCTTTGTTTCGTCGCGATAACAATGAAGGATGGAAAATAACGGGGAACGCGTCCGCGACCGGTCTCTTGCGAGCGGAATCTCAAAATCCGATTAAATGTTCTCGCCGAATCGAATAAAGAGCATCGAAAATTGTTTGTAGAACTGTGAATGATAAGAGAATCCGAAACAAGCCGATTTTGATACTTAACAAAAGAGGAAACTAAAAGAAGGTATTTTAAAGGCGTGTAAAGAGAAAAAATCATTCAATTTCTAGTATTTATGGACGACACTCTCCAATTTATTTAACGCCGTTATAATATGCTACAAAAATATTAGATCGTTAAATACAGTAAGCGAAGAAGGCCATATTCAGTTAAAACGGATCTTGATGCCTAACAATATTTTTGTGTAAATTTTCTAATTTTGTATTAAAATTAATATTTATTTTACATTAAAATTATTTTATACAAACAAACTATTTACTAATATTTTATTAATTATTTATTAATATTTTATATTATATATATATATACGTGTTTAATGTGTATAGCGCTTTTCAATAAAAATTTATCAAAGTCCGTTTTGATCATCTTTGATCGAAGAGAAAATACAATTGTGCCGTGTGTTTCTTTCGGATTGTCCTAGGGATACAGCGGGTGCTTCAGCAGCCGTTGAGCTTACTTGGTCATTGTCTTCTGCGGGTGTATAGCGGTAGTTTAGCGGCAAGATTTATGGTAAGGGAGGAACGCGAGCGATTGATCGCGAGAGTGCGCCAGGTGCAGAATTACGCGGCACCCATTGCTGACTTCCTAATGAATGGCTGGCGATTAATACGGATTAGTGGAGGCGCGTGTATCGGCTACGCCAAGGCGCACTTAGCCACGATTTATGCGCGACTTTGTCAACGTATTCTTCGATGCGCTACAAAAGATGCGAAACAAGAAGGTGTTAGTTGAGAAACAAGAAGTCGTGAAACTTTCGGATTATATATTGCGGATATAATATCTTGCGCATGTAAATTAGATCTATATAATATAATACAGAAAGTTCTATATAATTCTTCATGAATTCAAAATCAATTTTCAGTTAACACAAACTAAAAGTAACATAACATTAACGTTATAATTTTATACTCAATATATAATACATGTTACATAATGATTACTAAATGTGTAATTATTACATTAATGTTACATTATTTTTAGTTGATATCGATTGAGTTTTTTTCTTAATCAAAGTCTTTAAATAGTAATGCTTTTATTTTTATAAAAACGTCAAAAAACAAGATTTTTTTATAAGCTGGTTTTAAAAATTTTCTAGATCGATGTTACTGATTCTCGAAAGCAGAGAATGTGTACCAAGTGCAAAGTAGTACAGGCCATGAAAGACAATTATCATAAAACGTAGCATTCCGCGTGCGCATATTATCCTGCTTAGATAATTACGCGATATCCGGCAGATTGGTGTTGCCGGAGTTGGTTTTGCTCCATTGGGGATCATTTGGCACTCCGTGGCGTCTCAACTAAATCGATCGGTCGATTTCACAGTATTCGCACACATAACGCGAACACCGGATAATTAACATCAGCCGCGCGTAATTACTTCGCGAGTTAAACATCTACCGGGTTTTTTCGAGAATTAAATTACTCGAAGTGGAACAAGGAGTACAATGCAATTCGCAATGGAATAGAAAACGATTCCAACCGTATACGGAATGTAACTTGCTACTTTTTATCAGTTTTTATAAAAATATATGGAAATTTTGTATACTACTATTATCTGGTATTGAAGAAAGAGAGATGAATCTGTGTAAATGATATTTATATAGCATAGATCTTTTCAGTAATATTGCAGCAATATTGCAATATTCCAGCAATATTACAGTATACACAAGTAATGATGCTGCAAGCTTTTGTGTTGTATAGATAGAAATCAATTTATTACATCATAAAATTAAATTTACAGACTATTTATCGATTTATTTTTTCTCATTCACCAAGCATTAAATCACATTTAATATCGGAAAAAGAAAGAAAGATAAAGAGAGATTTTTTTTTAATTAATAAAAATCTTTCTTAAAAATACAAAAATAAATAGAACGAGAAAGGCAGAAGAAAAAAGAAGGAAAAATATATTCCTAATGTCTAATGGTTTATGTCGTTGGTAGAAATATCAATACCTGAAGAGAGAAAGAATATCTCTTCTTTGCTCTTCTTTACTCGGTAACATTGGCAAAGAAAAATAACCGGGAAAATACCGATATCAGGCAATGTGTTACAAGCGATGTTACATACGATTGTAACACGCGGGCGCGTTGTTAGACATCTAAAATTATATTTAAAAATGTATGCTTAATTACATTTATAACGCTATATTTTGTTCATTATTTATTCATTATTCATTATTTATATAATTTACCAATTATATTTATAATTAAATTATTTGTAATTTAGTTTTTATTCATAATTTCATTATTGCTTAATAGCTGTACTTAATAGCTCAACTTAAAATTAACAATTAAAAAATTTTAATTTTTATTAAGTATATTAAATAATATTAAACAGTGTGCGTTGGAAGATTACAACTTTTGTCAAAATACAAAAGGCAAACATTGTATTAGCTTAATCTAATATTCAACCGTCTATAAGGAAAACGTCTGTTTTTCTTGAGCAGTGGTAAAGCTCATTTGTTTAGCTTGAATTTCAGGAAACTTGCTGGAGTAAAATAAACCGTATCGAAGCTTAAGCTCAAGGTAGAAGGCGGAAGTATATGCAGGTTTAATAAATCTCGACGGCTCACGCGGATAAAGGCGTGCTAAGGACGTCGTCCGATTTATTTAGTTCCTGCACTTCGAATCTTTCTACGTCGGTATTCTCTCTGCATTTAAAGGATTGCCAAGTTAATCCTCGCAAACAGTTTGTTGCACAACGCCTTCAGCGAAAGTAATTTGCAATCTTTCGCCACCACGTAAATGCATATTAAAATATAAAATGTTTAATGAACGAAGAAGGAGAGAGAGAGAGAGAGAGAAGAGAGAGAGAGAAAGAGAGAGGAGCGGGAGAGAGGGAAAGGAAGGCAGGAAGAGAAATTTAATGTAAATATATAACGAGATTAAAGAAGTTAACTGTCAATAATTCTATCAACGTTGTTTAAGTTATTACATAATGTTAACGATAAATTATGGAATACAGTTTCTTTATGTAGAATCATACAAATTTATCCAGATTGACAAAATATTAAGTTAATATTATTTTTTATGATTCACTTGGCACATTAATATAATATTTTTATTGACTTGAAAAAATATTGTAAAATGCAATTTAAGTCTAATTAAAAAATTATAAATTTGATCAAGATCTTTTATACATTGTAAATATAATACATATTGTAGTCTGTAAAAATTAGTATAAACGAATTTGTTAATTTTGCGAAAATCACTCTATACATGTATGTATTAATGTTATTCATTATAAATTTTATTCTTTACATTTTTATCCAATTTTATTAAATTTTACAATATTCTATTTTTTTCAGAACTTGTATTAATGAACACACTTGTTTACTGGCAGTTTAATTATAGTCAGAGAACAGTTCGCTTTCGCTCTTCCAACTCACATAGAAATTTTACTCGCATCGTAAACATAACCGTAGAACTCGGCTTTCTGTGTTTCTGACTGCAGGGAATATTGTAACCCACGGAAATCCCCTAAAACAATAAAGCCTTTTACTATCGCCATTGAAAACAAAGTTTCTCGGTATTAAAGCTGAAACCAGGAAAAGTATCTACCTTTTCTACCTTTTTGAATGCTGCGAGGGCAACATGTTGAGAAAATTGGACGACACTTTGATAGCTGCGGGTATAACGCGAAATCAACAATCGTCTGTTTTTATAGTATTGCAAGTCGAAATGTTTTGGATGTACGTAATATCATAAATTGCGTCATATTAACATGAAATTAACATTTACAAAATTTCTCATTATTTTTCTATCTCTTTCAAGCAAAAAAAGTGTATTAATACTATTTACAATGTAAAACACTTGCTTGACCTACAATATTCTATACAACATTACGTTAGTTATACCACCTAATTGCATTAGAATTAACTACGAGAAATTTTCATGGAGACTGACTCTCTTCCTAACGTTCTTAAATCAGTAAAACGAAAGAAGAAAGTCGCTTGAAATTCATGGGCGAGTGGCCGGTCACCGGTGGTGTCTTTCGTAGTCGTGTCAAAGAACCGAAGAGAGAATCTCGCGGCGGCATTTTCCACCGGTATCCA